GACTTTGCCGGAACTGGTACCGAGGGAAGGGGAACCTGAGCATGTAACTGGCGACACGCGTCGGGGCATTTCAGCGAAGTGCGTTTACAGGAATCGACCGTGGTTCCTACGGCTCTGCTGTTAACCCTTCATAGACGGGCCAAAGAAAATGTGATGGTATTAGTATTAAGAACTTCTTCCCAGCTTCTGCGTTTTTCACCTACTTAGAGTCTCGTTTGGCACAGAGCTGAAGACACATGCTGGTGCGTCACACTGGATGAGCGATTCTGTGGTTGACCTGAGAGTCTTTGAACTGGTTGTCAGCTGCCATGCTTGCTGGCTGGGACCAGTCACCTCTAGAAGCTGACTAACGTGGTATTTAACCGTCGCAGTGTGTGGGAGATGATCTACGGCTGCCGGTGAAGGGTAGTTAGAACACAGATAAAGGTTTGTCTTCTGTCCCTAGCAGATTTATGCAGTGGTGTGTGAGCTCACTCTCCTCGTTGTCCTGGAAAATCAAGCTCATAATAATTTATTATAAGACCTTTGGGGCGGGGGGGGTCCTGTGTACCAAGTGGCACAAGCTCGTGGGAAATGTGGGCCGGACCCACGTCAGCCAAGGCGCCGTGGAAACGGAACAAGCACAGCGACTCTGTGGATAACGGTCACCGGGTTTGTCTGAGAACAGTTAATGCATTAATTAATGCATTAATTAATGCATTAATTAACCATGTTTGTTCATCATTAATGAATCATGTTGCATATTCTATCTCAAGCAGTAACTGTATTTGTTCCCATATCTGTTAATTCTGTAAACCTTTGTGAACGACTGAAGGAACCACTGAAAGAACTCAAGCGAAATGCTGATCTCATGTTTGTTTATTATTAATGAATCATGATGCATGTTTTGTCTCAAGTAGCTACTATATTGTTAATGATTAGTTCAAGGTTTGTACTTCAGTAGTAACTGAGTTATTACTAAGAATCTGTTCTGTTTCAAATGTTACCTGTCATTCTATGTTTTGTTGAGATAGAGGAGATACTTGACTTCCCTCTGGATATAACCTGATCGAGAGATTGAGCATAATCTCATAAGGGACTGACCTTTTGACAATAACATCTTGGTTATCTGTGCATTTTGCAGTTTAAGAATCTCCCTGCTCCCACCATCAAGATTGAATTAGATTAAAAGTCATCAGTAACAGTCTGTATGGCGGTGACAGACCCTCCAGGTCGCAGGGAGGGCTTATCGTTGGCATGTCTAACATCCCCGCCATGAATGGCGAGTGCAGTAAACCCCCCCGCCTGTGTGGAGATGGGGCAGCACCTTCGCCTGCTGGTCTATTTCTCGCTGTTCTGGTGAATGTGACGGTCGTGCGGCAGCACGCTGCATTGATCAATCTGCACACTTCATGTATCTCCGGCAGGAAGTATATTTGATAATGTTTTGTACTTGATTAGCAACTTAGTTACTAACTTACTTGTGTCCCCTCAAGCAAAGTGCTGCCATAAATTGTCATTAATTTAGAAATCAATCCTTCTAATTCTTTCATATGAAGTTAAGCTGTGTCCGGCTGTTGACTGGACGGACACTTTGATGATCTCTTTAAATTTAGTTTTAGACGATTCCTCCAGGGGACGCTCATGTGAACGTTTGTCCGGAGCACATTGTCGTTATATCAGTACTGAGACAAACATCTGTGCAAAGAGATAAAGTTACTTTCGTGTGAGTAACAGGGGATAGCATAGTGGGTAAGAGTATGGATTTGGTTAAAGTTTGAGTCTTGGGAGGATCCTTGCTGTAAGGTCATTGAGTGAGATATTTGACCTGAATCCCTCTGGTAGAATTCCAGCAATGCAGACTTGTTTCTTTGAATATAAGTGTCACTTAATCAACTAGTTTAACCATTCTTAGCTGACAATGGTGTCAATCACTGAAGGATGGGGCTAAAAAGATTCATGTAGGGCAGGGCTAAAGATTCATGTAGGGCAGGGCTAAAGATTCATGTAGGGCGGGGCTAAAGACTCATGTAGGGCTAAAGACTCATGAAGGGCAGGGCTAAAGATTCATGTAGGGCGGGGCTAAAGACTCATGTAGGGCTAAAGACTCATGAAGGGCAGGGCTAAAGTTTCATGTAAGGCAGGGCTAAAGATTCATGAAGGGTGGGGCTAAATATTCATGTAGGGCGGGGCTATACACGTGCTAAAGATTCATGAAGGGTGGGGCTAAATATTCATGTAGGGCGGGGCTATACACGTGCTAAAGATTCATGTAGGGCAGGGCTAAAGATTCATG